ACTTCACCGCATGATTTTGCAGTTATTTACAATGTCGAGGTCCGAATTGTAGCCACTCGCTTAAGGACTGATTTCTTTCGATTGAAAGGTCAACGGATATGCATTCGTCCGAGTGTCAGGGGAAATCTTCAAGGAATGAATGGCTTTTTGGCCATTTGGAATGATGCGAAGTGTCTCAATTGTTATTCGTTACGCAGACATTCCTAGCGGCTATGCACTAACTCTGACCTTGTGGGTGTGGGGCTCTCGAGACACACTGAAAATCGATGACACATACACAATGTTGATACTCTTATGTCGACTTACTGCAGTTATTTTCTTGGTAATAGGTAGTTAGAGGAGCCTAAAAAACGTTCCTTATAGCGCAATATCCTTGAATTGCTGCTCCCTCAAAGCAGCGAATGATGATGGGGGAGGTGTACATACATTTTCGTGACTTTGCAGTGAGATGATTCCACATCAAATGACGTTGTTTTCGTCGTCTCATGTTAAAGTCCCTTCTCACATCCAAAATTCAATTTGGCTCCTCCCAGCCGTTGCCATTGTTGTGCAACCATGTGGCTTCTAGGAATTATCAATTGTTTGTCACGGGCTTCTTCTTGTTCTGTCGTTGTTTGAGGCTCTGATATAATTGAAATGCCGCCCATTTGGTAAAGATCTGTTATTACTATACAGCATAGAGATCGGTGAAATGGTAATCTGAGTATGCTCCTACGAAAATTTCCTCTTCCAGTACGACCCCCTTCCAGGGAATGTCCTGTCCATAAGGGAAATTCCTCGTACAAGACGACCCCCTCCCCCCGCCCTGAATTTCCTCCTCTGGTACGACCCGCTTGCGAATCGCCCATCATACATCTACCTTCTATCATCTACCTTCCTAGATTTTCCCAGCTTCCTACCTCAGCTACTTTGAGGACAAATACGATCTCCATTCGCTCCAGAGACCAGATGGGACCCTCGCATCTCGCTGGGGATTCCCGAAGTCCAACGTCCTCCCCTGCTCCATTTCCCAATTGAAGTTGCCCATCAACTTCCTAAAATCTACTACCTTAACTTCCTATTCTCCTAATTTTCTAGAAAGGTCACGAGTTTTTCCTGACCCTGGCGTCGAACGGGAGAGGGGGTCGTCACCAGTCGACAACAAAAATCGTCTATGAGTAGTAGCTCTCGACCAGGTACGAGCTGTTGATGGGATTCTCCCAGCTATGCGGGGCAGTGCGCCAGAATCCGCTGAACTCCTAAAAACCTGATTCGAAACTACTTCTTTACAAAGGAGTTCAAGAGTTCACAAACCCCAGAGCTCATTCTTCTGGATTTAGGCATCCATCCATCCTTCGCCTTGTTCCCACGAGTTTTTACACCTCCAGCGCCAAATGCCGTCAAGCGTACAGGCTTATTCGCTGCGGATCCTGGGGCTGTCAGGGACAGTGGGTTAAGCGCGGCACCAGTAGCTCACTAGACGTAGTTTTGGACGATGATCTCGAATCTGCCTTCGAATTTGCACAGTGATTCTCTGAACGGAGTTATGGATCTTTTTCCACCGCGTTTACCACGCAACAGGTCGTGGGATCGGATCCCTGCTGAGCTCAACTTTTTTGCTTCTTGCGCAAAGGTGGCAAAAAGTGGTTGTGAGTCACTACTACATTACATCTTGACCTGCTGAAAAAAACAGTTGCGGTGCTTACTGGCCGCGCTGTGCCTTAATATCTAGGAGAAATACAGCGTGCTTGGCGCGCAGTGCAGGCGTTTTCGCGCTGGGCGAGTGCCATATTCGTATTCTGGGGGCGAACTACGCCTAGGTAGAGGTTTCTAGCCAAATCTGCCATTTTGACCTGACTTCGAAAAGTGAATCATCCATGGGTTAGTTCAGTTGATGTTCACTAATTCAGCCTGCAGATACATGTTATCCTGCCACAAGGCCTGCGTTCTTTGCACTTCTTGCCATTAATGGTGTTGCTGTTTCAGTTTTCTCCTGGTATCTGGAAGCGAGATTCCAATGCCAAGAAAGAAGAAAGAGAAGAAAAAAAGCAATCGACAGGAGACTGGCCCTGGAACTATTGGTGACCATCATTCGCCAACTGCTACCGCGTTTTTCAAAGTTAGGTCAAAACCTCACATCTGGCTAGAAACCTGTCGCCAAGGGTAGTTTTGCTCTCCTGAACACGAATATGGCACCCATTTGGCGTTTCAGTGTTTTCTAGACTTAAAAGAGACATTCCCCCAAAAATGCAGAAGAATTTCCCTTTCGGAAATCCGAACCCTTCATGGCATGCCCGCAAAGCAAGGCCTTTGCCACTACACCATGCCGCCGATGAAAGTGTGGGTGCTTTACCGGCTATTCATGCGCATTGGCTGGCAGCCGCGCTGACTGTTTTCCTTCATTTTAATCTTAATAAACTTTCATAATTCTTTTCAGAGAATCGCTTCTGCAAATTTCGAAGGCAGATTCGAGATCAGCGTCCAAAACCACGTCTAGTGAGCTACATCTCATTACAAATGGCCACTTCGACCTGACGACCTTCCCTAGTGACAACATATTGGCGCCGTTGCCAAACACAACCCTTCCCCCTCTACTCCAACGCTCCCCAGCATCCCCAGTGAACAAGACTAGAAGTCAAAGAAATTGCATGGAAATGTAACTCCTACAGTTCCATCGCTTTACAGGAGCTTCACTACTCTACAGGTTACCATGTCAAGTTGACAGGAATTACAAAATGCCCTTCTACATTGCCCTAGCGCATTTTTTTCCTAGATGTCCTGAAGGTTTATGGGTCCCCCCGATAATCAATGAGAATTTCTATGACCGATTTTTTTGAGCCGGCAATTTTTTTCTCTCTCTCGTAAACAATGAATATATAACGATAGTGAGTGAGGGGCTCCAAGTATCAAAACGATTAAATTTTTAGAAAATAAATATTCAGAATTGAATCTGTCAAAGATTTTAGTGATAGAATATGATCGAACTGATCCCTGAGAACTGGTCCAGGTGATTTCCCGCGTCTCAGTGTGTTTGAATAAGGTTTGATTAATGAGGCTCAGCGGTCCGACAGGCCTCGTTAGAGGTCACTCGGCCGTTCACTGAGTGCTCATCGTGCACATTTTTTCGCATGTTTTACGTTGGGCCATTACTTCGCGGCCATATATTGATTTTATCATTTTTGGTATTTATTCGCTTTTTTATACCCATTTATTTATTCGTACACTACTAGAGTGTTGGTGCTACAGGTAACCAAAGAACAAACTAATTTCGAATCACAAAACAATTAAAACAGTCATAAATTCCAAGGAAATTTCAAAACAGGAGAAAGAAATTTGAGTTTTTGTTAATTTTTTCGTGGCTTTTTGCGTAGTCTATAGAGAATATTTTTCTTGTTTTAACTATTATTTATCCTAGAGAAGTTTGTATGGATAATCAATGCAAGTCTTTTGAATGCTCGCAATTTAAGGGGACGTAATTTATTTGTGCCCATTCACCAGTGTTCCTTGAGAAAACAGTCCGGAACAGTGTGATTGGGAGCGCCGTCACATCATTTCTCGTTTTGTTTGAATTGCAAAAGAGTGCAAATATTGTATTTTTCTCATTAATTTTGATGTTCGAAAAACGAATTTGTCAGCGAATCCGGGGGGATGGGGTGGACTATAGGTTTTTATGGGATTCTTCTGCAACTGCTAGGTTAATCATGAGATTTTTTCGCGAGGTTTAATAGGGTCAAAATAGCATACGCCTTAAGTCTATGACAAGAGTTCCTTTTGTGTGATATTAGGGCCACAATCGAGCTATTATAGTATTACTTGCTCGTTCGTCGCGGATGAAGGGGCGTATCAGGCGGGGCTGGCCACACTGTGAGCGCTTATCTTCACCAGTCATCTTGGCAAGTTTGACAGGAGTTTACAAGGTCTTGACAGGTGATAACTCCTGCTTACAGGTATTGAGAGGGTTGTCCGTTGTACAAATCTATACAGTTTACGGGATTTGGAATGCTGGCAAAGTGGTAGTGGCGTCGCACCCCCTGCCCCAAGATTATTAGCGCCATAGATATCAAAGCAGAAAGAAATTACTTTTTTGTGTAGACAGGTGTTTTCTGCCGTTCGTTGGCCAACATTGTTTAGCTGGCTATGGCCACCACTTGTGGTATTCATAGCAGGGTACGTGACAAAGCAATCGTGATTCGTCGCGCAGGTGGGTGTTGCGTGCTACATCTCGCTAGTACACGACAATGTTTCTCGGGCGACAATAGACAAGGTATAACCGAAAATAGCCATAAATATGTACGATACTGTAGTCTACAACAAATCTGGTGCTCCAGTCGACGAGCTAGCGCAAGTTAAGAAGACGTCGCGCTCCATCGCCGCGCGCGACAATCACGGAGCGGCAAATTACGATTGTCTTGGCCGACTCCCTTCACAGCAGGCCACGTACTGCTGTTTAGGGGTGCTGGTGCGCTTTCTCCCGTTCCTACCTACCATTTTTCTGAATTTTCCAAGCTTCTTAACAAAGTTTATGGAGTTTATAGCTTTTTTCAGAAGCGCACCCCCTCCTTCCGCTTCCTGAGAAGAAACAACAAACGAAATCTTTCTCAATGGCAAGTGCCCCCCAATCTCAATCCAGCGACCAGATACGACTCCCTCGCTAGGAATCCCTGACGTACAGCGTGTCCTGATTCTTAGTAGTCTTACAGGAACTAGTTCTTGCTATCGATTATATCATACTTCATAAGTTGTATCTCGTTTTTGGCCGGGTGCCAATGAACGTCCACTCGCCACCATTCGTCGTTTCACTGCGGCGGTCGCCTTCGTCGCCACTAGCGAGAGGAACCGGTTCTTGTGTCGTGCATCGATGGCCGCCGCCGTGGTGAGGGGTGAAGGTGAAGGCTGCCTGACAGGCCCGTGTTTCAACTTGTGTCATAGCATGTCGTACATTAGTCATTGCTCTGTGTTTTTTTGGACCGAGTATATGCGCCCTCGTTTAATGCGCCTTTTAATTTCAGGCGTCATCGAAGATGCGGAATAAGAGGAAGGCGGTCAAGAAGTAAGTTTTTCTTTCTCTGATTGCTCACCTTTTTGCTTTTTTTTCGCTGTTTTATTTAAGCTTCGTTCATGCTTTGCGTCAGTCTACCAGAGTTTCGTTTGCTCAACGCTGGCAGACGTTGGCGCACTCTGGCAGAATTTAGCGTTCAATAGACACCCTCCTTATCCCTGAGCCAGAGTAGGCGTGGCATTTGAACATGGCACGGAACTGGTTACTCGTGGAATATTCCAGTCTGGGACAACTGTCATCTTGTTCTGTGTTGGACAGAGACACGACAACAATTGTGTCAAGATGAAAATATCTCACCAGAAGCACAGACACCTTCAGGTTAGGTTGAAACAGGCGGCCACGCCTACCCGATCTCAGGGATTTCGGGTATAGATAGATATCTACACTTTCTTAATGGCTGGCGCTGGCGTGCGCTCGAAACAATGGTGCGCTGACGCAAAGTATGAACGCAGCTGATATTGTTTGTTAACTGCTGTTTAACGCCGCAGTACGCGATTCGAAAGCTATCACAAGAATGCTGAGTTATGGGCAAAAGTCGTACATCACGTACTGCGGCGTTAAACAGCAGTTAACAAACAATATCAGCTTGAAACTTGTAAAAAGCCTTCAGCCTTGCGGTTCACTGCCGATATCGGCTAACCGGCTCATCACGTTGAACGTGTGAGTGCTGTAAGGCTATGGCACAAATAGCCATTGAGCTGAGTGGTCAAAGGTGGCCTCGGTAGCGTAATAGGGAACGCATTCGCACGGAAAGCGGAAGATGCGGGTTCGAATCCCGCCCGTGGTCCGACTTTTGCCCATAACTCAGCATTCTTGTGAACGCAGCCTTACTTATTTCCCCGTATTATGAGGAAATGTTGTGTCGGGTCTAGTATAGCCTTGAGCCAAATGATCGTTCAAGTGGGAGTATGTGAGTTTGTGAAAGAAGTGGCCATGAGAATAAGCCAATATTTGCATTTCGTGGTTGTTGTTCGTTTGTCAAGGTTCAAGCGTTAGAGGCAGAGCAAGGCTGTGACGCAGAGGGCAGGCAGTACGCTGGGGAACCCCAGTAATGATCATATTCTTTTTTCGCTAGAGGGAAAGGAAGGGTCGTGTTTGGCCTAGGAGGTTTTTTCTTGACAGTTGTTTGACGGATCCGCAGTGTTGAAAAACTCCTCTTAGGAGAGGGAGTGTCGTATTCGCTAGTCGCCGAAAGAGGTGAATGTGGGCTCCAACAGGAATTTGAAGGTTTCTTATTCAGTCAACATTACTCGCTAGGCCGGGTTCGAGCGCACCCTTCAATGATTTTGAAAGAATTACGGGTAGTCCGTAATTTTCTCGTTCATGTTTTTCACCGACATTGGAAGCTTGTTAATGGAATCGGAAGCCATTAATTCGGTCAATTTAAGCTCTCTGTAGGTAAAAAAAACCTTTGAAAATGTAAAGTCGTGTGTGTTGAACATCAGTCTGGGTCTTCCGTTAATTTTATTCGATTGGAATGAATTTCTTTTCGACTATTTTGCGCAAGTGGGACTGGTGTCAGATAACCTCAGTCAGCACTATTCTTATTTCAGTGCCCCACTCCTCGAAAATTTCGAACCTACTTTTAGAACATGTTTCTGACGAAGCGAATTCAGGCAATTTCTCACGCTCGTCAAGCCGCGTCCATACTTCGTCGCCCTTGCGGTTTTGAAACGAAATCTGTTGCTGACCGCGCTTTATCGATTTAATGCTGCGGCAGTCAAAGTAGTTCTTCCCTAGATATGCCTAGATATGATTTATAAGGTGTCACACCACTTCACGAAATGCGGCCCTCATTTGGCGTCAGCGTTTTTGGAGAGGCCGTTACTCCACTCGTTCTTGCTGTTTTTAGTCTGAGGCTTTGAAAAAGAAAGAATCGCCAATCCGGTGAGAGGAAGAGCATAGAAGACAGGAGTTGCCGTGGTCACCCCACTATAGACTCTCGCGTCACCTTCCCTCCAACTACTTTTGCGATGATAGTCTCCTCTCTGAACACAAGTACCTCATCTGTTGGAAGCGAAAATCCTGGCGCCCGAGCCGCAGGTGCCATCCTTAGGGGCCAGTCTTGGTACCAGCGTGTCATCTTTTGGACTAGATTTATTTTCGGGGATTGAGTTCTGTCAAGATATGTCTAGTCTGGAAGGGTAGACCTGTCAACAATAGATAGTCCCTATTTAATTTCCCTCTTCTAGTGGTCACACGGCTCGCAACGATGACGTTCTGGCCTGCACGGCATCGCCTTCTGGTGAGAAAGAGAACTATCAGAGTGTGGACAAAGAGGGGAAAATTCGAATAACCGAACAAGCGCAACGAATGTTCGATGCAGTACAGTCGAGGGCGCAAGAGGTTTGTACAGAATTATTGAATTCATTGATTCTTTGGTTCTTTTCTGTTACGTTTATTACGTTCTCATGATTCACATATGGCGTTAAAATGTTGGACGTTGTGGTGGGAAACCTTTTCTGGGGGGGGGGGGGGTAAGGTTGTATTGAGAAAATTTCTTGCTCCTTATGTGAAACTGGGATTGTCATAATGGGACTGACTCTTTGCCTAGACCTCCGAGGTGAGTGGACTCATGTCTTTTTGTAAAAATGACCAGGGTGTCATTCAAATGCCCCTTCTTAGTCGATTGTCCCGAATTTCACTTTAAGTTGTTTTGCTTTGCTCGAAAGCCTCACGGCTTGATTGTTGTTTTGCCTCCGATTGCCAATTATGGGCCACTCTTGGTGATTTCTGAGTGGGACAGCATGGGACTGTTACCCTTGAAGCTCGGCTGTAGCTGACATCATAGGCTCTGTGGCTGGGGAGTTTGGGTTTTTGGTATTGATTTACTAGCAATTATATAGTTTCTAAAGCAAGCCCGAAAGTTCAGAAATGGTAAGTTGTGCGGCTTAAATACTAATGAGAAGAAGGCGAATAGCACATACGTAACGAAAAAAAGCGGAGAAACGATCTTCAGATGTCTTTATAAATCCCATGCCGAATCGCGCTTGTACGTGCATAAGGCAAAGAAAGGGCGTGGTCGGACGAGCTCCCACTTTTTAGTGTCCTCATCTCCCTTATCACCTCATTCTCACTATTCGACATGGAGAAAGCTGGTAGTGGAACAACCGCATCACCAAGATACCTTTAGAAATGGAACCTGGGTGTAGCGGTGACAAGTGGGCGGAGCCATGACCTCATCGCGAGTGGGTCGCGCTTTACTAAAGAATTTTTGAGCTATGAGAGTGGTTGATCCTCCATGCTTGGCCCCTGAACATCAAGTGAACGTGGGGCGTGCCCATAAGTGCCGGAGCCCACTTGAGAGCTCATTTTCTTGAAATCTTTCAAAGAAATATAGCGGAATGAATAGTGATGTGTTCCGCTAATGAACCTCTTGGCGACATTTTGCTATAGAAGCATTTTTATTCTTGCTGTACAAAGCAGAATGTTGAGCAAATTAGTTTCAGAAATGTTTCAAACCGTAGAAAGCGCAAGGTAGATCCCTCACTTTCTGAATGTTGCCCGTGATGCTTGTGAAAAATTTAGTGCTCTGGCAATCTTTTGAGTTTATGGTTAAACCGGTTTGCCACCCGCCCATGAAATGTGTTTTAACACGTCCATTAGCCCAGAGATTAATTCGTTACCTCTATTCGATTTGAACCGTTCTGGGGCTATTTTCAACGACCATGTGTTCAGAGTATCGACAAAGCAATTCGGGAGATTGCATCGACGACGATGAAAGACCCGGACGCCGAGCAAGGTGCCACTGGCGATACGATTAGGTTTGAACTTGTGGCAGTTCTAGATGTTTGGGTATTCCCTAGGGTGTTTTCATGTTTCAAGCTGCGCTCACGGTTTTTTTTTCAGGATCGTACGAAATTTCTACTTGGTACAGTGCTCCGTATCCTCAGGAATACGCTCATGTTCCCATTTTGCATATTTGTGAATTCTGTTTAAAATATATGAAAACGGAAGCGATTCTAGCACAGACTATGGTACGTTTCCTCGTTGGTTGTCGGCACTGTATTTTTTTGGGGCAGTTTGGCTCGTGAGGTCATTGAAGGGTGCTCAGCTAAGCTTCTACAGGCTCTCCTGTGAAGAACTGTGAATTCCTGTGGCTCACTGTAGCGATTACTTCACAGCTTCACAGGAGCTAACAGGTTTGACCAAAGTGGAGACCCTGCTAAGTTAACGAGAACCAGACAAAGGAAATCCAGCGAAGTGCGATGCCGCTTCAGCGGACAGTGTTCAATTTTCTTGCTTTTTTCCATTCTTCCAAAATTCCTTCGCGGTAGGAACACCATTTGTCATTAATGTGCTGTCTTTGTTTGTGATTAATTTATGAGAAGTGCTTACGTCGATGGCTGCGTTTCTCCGTGCATTTCATCGCTCGAGCAGGATCTAGCAAGCACTTACTGTGTTGCTTTTACGAAATTATGATCCACCCCCTCGAATTTCCTATGCTAATACGGGTCGCCCTCGACCTAGCATTTCTCAAAGTTTTACAAGAAGTTCCCAGTTTTTCTAAAACTGCCGTCGAGGGACTGAGGCCTCCACCAAGTGACCATTTAAAGTTTGGATGTAATTGTATCTCGAACAAATAAGTCCCCTCTCCCTCACTCCTCCAGCGACCAAATACGACCCCCGCTGGGGATATCCATCGTGTGAGAGCTACACTGCCCCTAAAACATGATGTGAATTAGCCGCACCTCTCCCGGCACCCCGAACACTTCACTTCCTAAACTAATTTTCTTCTAATACTTAGGTAGATGTTATCTGTAATCTCGACACTAAATTCCTTTTTGTAGAAAAAATGCGAATGGCGCCATCCACCTGGTAATGAGATCTATCGCAATAATAATGTTTCCGTATTTGAGTATGATCGCGTACGTCTCAGGATGAGCACGCGACATTTTCTCTTTTTTTCTTTTTTCTCCTCATGTTTAGAGGTTTTAAGTTTCCTTTTTTTGTTTTTTCGGTGGTTCACATTTATTTATTTAGGATATACTGTCAAAACCTTTGTTTAATAGCAAAGTTATTTCTTGATCACAAAACTTTGTACTACGATGTGGAGCCGTTTCTTTTCTATGTTGTCACCAAGAATGATGACTATGGATTTCATTTAGTTGGATATTTCTCGAAGGTTTGTCAGGTTGAATGTCGGAATTTTAGTTCTTCTC